CCCAGGACAACCTTCCGCTCTTTGAGGACGACTCTGGAGCCCAGCAGTAAGTCCTCAGACAGTCCATTGTCCTTATGGAAGACATCAACCTGAAGAGGAAAGAACCTACTGTGATTTGTCCATATATGTATATCAAACACATGACTCTGCATGGGTTCAAGCACATCCTGAGGAACACCTTATAAAACCAACCAGATAATAAAAAGGGGCTAACAACACTACCTTATTGTTGACTTTAGTATATACAAATATTAAATATTTCACTACCCTATTATTGCAACATGACATTGCTGTTAATATTTACGCTTTGTTGACAGATGTTTGGAAACTGATAACAGAGACATGTCAGGAGGTAAAGAGTTCTGCTATTCAACAGATTTTAAGGAATGTCTCAACACAGAAGACTTGGTGTAGTGCGCTCAAAAAGTGAATAGGGTGTGAATGAAATTGAACAGGTCACAAAGTCATTCTCCAGGTGTTCAGCAGGATGATTTCAGACTATGACTGTTTTCCCAGCTTTTCCCATTGATAGCTTGTGCAAACTGTTTTATATGACATAAAAGAATCACCTGCATTAGGTCTATTTGTTGAAACACACACACACACACTCACCAGGCTTTCCCAGCTATCAAAGGGTCTCAGTTCCACAATCTTCTGGGCCTTTTTAACCGAGCAGCCAGAGATCAGCGACAGCTCATCTATCGACGCATTCTGGAAGAATTTGATGATCTCTTTCTTCAGTTCTGTCATTCCACCTTTAGAGTCCAGCTCATCGTCAGAGTTCTCAAACTCACTGCTAACGGTGTCCTCTTCGTCGTCATTTTCTCCCTCAGAACTGACATGTTCATCTGCGGCACGCGCCTTCCTCTTGCTCTCTGCTGCCTGCTTCTTGGCTATACTGGTCCCACTGGCAAACTTGGACAGCATCTGAGCAGTGGAGGAAGAGGAGGACGGCTTCAGGGAGGAAGAGGTAGTTGTTTTCTTGACAGAGGAGGATGAGGATACTGGATCGGGACTTTTTATAAGCCATGAAGACAGAGTGAAAGGTCTACTTTTCTTATTGGAACCATCGCTGTCTTCTGAGTCAGAGTCTTCACTGTCCTTTGTAGCGTCTGTATCATCTCTACTCTCCTCTGTTTCACTATCATTTCTGTGGTCCTTATGGTCGCTCCTTTTTTTATTGTCTCCATGATCTTTGTGCCGCTTCAACTTTCTGTGGTCTCTGCTAGACTTGTCTTTGCTTTTCGATTTAGTGGATTTCTTTTCTTCTGTCTCAGGTGAGCTGAAGCTGGTATTATCTGACAACAGAAAAAAAGACAACTTGGGGCTTGAATCAATATCAAAATCAGTTAAGAACATTAAAGTTAAAAGTAAACATTGCCAGTGAAAAGAAGATTGTGTTCGCACCTGGGTCTGAAAACATTTGGAGAACCTGCAGAGCATCCTCAACATTCCAGTCGTGTTCCTGCAGCACCATCCGCAGCTCCTGCAACAAGACAGTCATAAGCAATGGGTCAGCCTATAATTTCTCTCACTGTGGTCTGGCATGGCTTTATAGTAATTTTCTAGAGTCAGGCATCATTTCAAGTAGCCATAAAACAGATGATAGACATATTTGAATAAGTCATCTTGATTGAAATTCATGAGGTTTGGATGTTTTGGCGAATCACACCTCAACACTCCCCACGAACGTATTCACTGAATAATTTAGTCACGCACAGTTGGTCAGACTATGATTGCAGCGTTTACAGTTAACACACAGGAGAAAAACAACTTTACACCATTAAATGGAAACAGGAGCCGTTTCCAAGATCTGCATTTGCTTCTGAGTTTTTTAAGCTGCAAGGAACAGCTGAGGTCATCTACTGCAGTTCACAGCTGGGTTGGTCCAGAGTGACAGCTAGTTAGCCACCTAGCAGATACGAATCAGGTGAAAGACAATTAAAATAGTCTAATTTGGAGGTAAAACATTTCAGAGCTGCAGAGCTGGAAGCTGCATGGAATCAGATTGATCAGGTTTTCTGTTATGATTTTATCTGTGGACAAACAGTGACTGGTAGCTGTTAGCTAGCTTTTCACAGTGAAGCGCTAACAATGTGTTATTGTGCTAGGGTAGTTCGCTTTTACAGCAGTACTGCAGCAGCACTGTTTAGAGATTTTGTTTTGCTTCTGCTTGAAATGATGAGGGGGTGAATCAGACTGGACTTAATATCAATATGTAATGGCTTAATGTGCTATAGTGTGCTAAGTGTCTGCTTTTCTTCACCTCCTTATCCTGGTCAGGGAACTTCTTCTGCAGTCTTCTGACCATGGCTTCCTGCTTCTCCCAGCTTGGCTCATTCCTTTCATTATCTTCTTCATCATCAGAAACCTTTTGGTTTAAATACAAGAAAGGTAAATTCAAAGCTCATAGGGAACTATACCAACCTACTGAGATTTGCATTTGGCACTGAAGGGAAAGCTAAAACGGTCATATAGATTGTTTACATCATCTCCATTAACAAACCATCAATATGATCACCTGTATGCAGAACGTGTGGCTTGTTTGTTGTGCATCAGCCATCATAACATTTTAATTTCATTTATTTTTCATCAATATTTGCAATCTGTTATTTTCTATCCGTGTGAAAAAGACAATTCGGGCATAATGAGCAACAAACTGTTTTTATGTAGTGCATTATGAGCGAAACGTCTGCAGTGTGCCAAAATGTTGGAGAGATGCAGCCGGGAGGAACAATTACTTCACATGGCTTGAGTTGTATTTAAAATTAAAATGAAAGGATCTTGAAAATGTGTACATGTCAAACCATCAGTTTAAACCATGACAGTAACATTAATTAATAAGTAATCGTACCACTGAAGTCCTCCTCTTCTTGTTGGGTTGATCCTCACCACTCTGATGAGAACTGCTGGATCCATCCTGTTTTCTCTTCCTGCCTTGGTCTGGGGCTGAGAAGACATGGCGGCCAGCGTTATGAAAAGTAGCCAACTGATGGGGAAAGTAGCCCGCTAGGCAGGTATAATTATTTCTGGTGTTATTTTTGTACTGCACCTGTACGCCAGATTTAGTAAGAACTTGAATTTGCTTTCAGGCATTGAGAATGAGCCAATAATTGTTGATATTATAAAAACACAAAAGAAAATTAACCTAACAGCACATTTTCATCCTTATTTACTTTACAGGGTTTCAAAACAGATTATTTTTCTCCAACTACATACTAAACCTTCTTTATGCGATGTATTTCTTGTAGGACTGTCATTATGTGCTTACACAAATATTAATTATGTACCTTCTTTGTCACCAAACTTTGAAAGGCAAACAGCCACAGCCCCATCCAGTGTGCTTGTGCTCCCAATGACCTGAAAATGGAACAAAACAAGGTGCTTTGAACAAGGAAATTCAGGAGATTAAAAGGGATTGTTTCTTATGAACAGAGCCAAAAAAATACAGCTGGCTAATGTGTTCTGTGCTGCAAAGCCTCTGCTCCTTTCCGACTTACCTCCAGTACCATCGTCCTCGTCAACTGAGGAAACATCTCCAGTAGTCTGCACACTTTGTCCTCCACTTCGTTGTCCTCAGTATCTGTATCATGCGATTCCACATTTTTGGATGATTTCCCTGTGGGGCTAGAATAAACACAACAAGGCTGTAAAACACTACGATTCAGCAGGAATGAGGGGGGAAAAAAAGTGTAATTTTACTTTACACTTACTTGGATTTCCTGGTTAATGATATTTTGGTCTTTTTGTCAGAGAGGAGGTCATCTTCGTCCAAGTCGATAGAAAGAACTTCCTCAAAAACTACTCCTCGTGCATGGGACTTTGGTGGGACTTTGACAGGTTTCATTTGAGCTGTAAAGCAATACAGTAACAACAAGTTAGCAGACACGTCCCCTTCATCTTGTCTTGTTCATTTGCAAAGTTTTCAGCTCATGTATATCTTCACCATGATATACAGATACTGTAGGCTCGGCTTTCCTACGACTTT